CGACGCTGGGCCCGTCTCCCAGGGGCGCGCGGGAGCGCACGCTAGAGGCGCCAGCCAGAGGAGGAGGAGGAGGAGGAGGAGGAGGAGGAGGAGGAGGAGGAGGAGGAGGGAGGAGGAGGGAGGCGCCAGCGGCTCCGGCGCGGCGCCAGAGGCGCCGCCAGTAAGGGTGGGGGGGGGTGCGAGTGCCCGCGCCGATGGGCAAAACGCTGGATAAAAAACACGGTCACCATGATGGATGCGGCCCGAAGGACGGGGCTTCAGGGCCCAGTCCCTTAATTAGCGCCCTCTCTTGGGCCCGCCGAGTTCTTGCCTGGACCCCGACGTCATGTGAGGTGGACCGGCCCCCAGAGGCCTGGACCCCTTCCCAGGGATCGGCGTTGGCCCCTGGGCTCGGCAAAAAGAGGCCAACGAGGCCAAACAATTGTTCGAAAAGCCTTCCGTCGCTACTCAGGAGGGGAAAAAACACACAGATACAATTAATCGTCGACATCCCAGAAAATATGGGAAAATATGGGAAGTGGGGGGGAAGACAGAAACCCAGAAAATATAGTAGAATAGGGAGAATCCTTTCATTTGTGTGTATTTATTTGTGTGTCCTAGGGGCGCCTTGAGCTACTTTTCCTGGAGGAGGGAGGCCTCGAGCGGCCACGGAGGTCCCGACGCCTGCCCCGGGGCCAGGCTCGCGCCGCGGGTCCACTCCTGCTGGCCCCGATGGCCCGAGGATGGCCCTGCGGAGCCCCGGAGGCCGACGTCAGAGGAAAATGCCAGAACGCAGAAAACACGTCGTCGGAGGTGTGCTCTTCGGGCCAAAAAAGCCTCGGGCCTCCCGGGGCCGTCCGGGGGGCGGTTCTGGCACCCCCCCATCGGGGACGCTTCCGGCGAGGCGCAGCTGCCGGGAGGCGTCCCGAGGCGAGCAAACCTCGACGGAGCTCTTCAGGAGGGAAAAAAACACACAGACACAACGAATCGTCGACTCCCCAGAAAATATGGGAAAATATTGGAAAATATCCGGATTCCTCTTATTTGAGTGTATGTATTTGTGTGTCCCAGGGCTCCTTCAGCTCTGGGTCCGCCTCGTCCTCCCGGCAGCACCCGGGGGCCTCTCCGAGGGTGCCTCCCGACCGGAACTGCTGGGCGGGTCGGGCCGAGAGATCACGGGGGCGCCCCAGGACGACCAGAGAACGTCCAGAGAGCGAGCATCGAAGCTCGAACCTCGACCTTGGAGTTAAGTCGGGCCTGTCCCTCTACAGGGGGAGTCTTCAAAAATAGTTCAACAGTACTCAGGGGACTATTTGTTGAGTATAGTTTGACCATTTGGGAGTTTTTGTTCGAGTATATTTTTATTTTTCGTCGCGAATCCCCCTGTAGGGGAACACGCCTGACTTAACCTTGGAGGGCCAAGTCTGCCTGCTTCTAGAAGACAAAGCTTGGGCCTCTCTGCCAAATACCGTTCTAGCCAAAAGCGGCTGTGGACAGACCTGGGCGCCGCTGCGAGTGTTGACGCGTCTGGGGCAGATGCTCCTCTGGACAACGCGGCCGTTGCGGTCGGCGCAGGGCAAGGTCGGAAAAGGGGGGGATCGTCTCCCGCGTGCTCCTGCTCTGAAGCAGGCCACGCGTCGGCGAAGCAACAGCAGCGGGGTCGCCTGCGCCGACACTGGCGCGCAGGCTGGCCGCGCGAGGTCGCGCGCGCGCGCCCCCGTCTCCGCTGCAGCGTGCCGCGCTGGCGACCGAGCGCCAGCTGCGGCGCAGGGGCGCCAGGCCACCGCGCGCCCGGCCCGCGCCTGCTCGTCGCGCACTCGGCACGCCCAGATCGAGGAGTTCGAGGTGCTCGGGGCCGTCAGGGGGCTCCAGAGTCGGGGGTGGACAGGACCCCCAGCAGTGACACGTCGATTCGTGAATTGTCCGTGTTCGGTTCTCGAGGGGGCGCCGCGGCCGTTATTTTCCAGGCTTGCGCCCGCCAGGTTTAGGCCTCAGGTCGTTTTCACTAAACCACGTTTTACTAAAGGGGGGTCTGTTCATCCCCGATTGAGAAGAAAACGTGTCGTCAGAGATCTGGGTCTGGGTCGGGCCTGTCCTCCTGCAGGGGGATTTTGGACGAGAAGTAACAAAGACTCAAAAGAGATCCAGAAGATGCCAGATAATACTCGAACTATAGATCAAAAGATGCCAGATAATACTAAAGGGAGGTCTGTCCATCCCCGATAGAGCAGGTCACACATGGTACAGTGGAGGCCCCTGCCAAGAAGCACCCTGCTTGCCTCCACGAGGCCCCTGGGTCTCTTGGGTCTCGAGGGTGCTGCCGTGGAAGGCCCGACGTTCCCGCACGAGAGATCAACGGGCGTCGGGGTTGAGTCTCTCGTGGAAGGCCTCTTGGTGGTCGGGCCCCTGCTGCAATCCGTCCTCGATCCCCTCGCTGATTCCTGCGCCCTCCCGTGCCCTCCAGGTGGTCAGCCACGCGCAGAGGGGGGTGGGGGGAGGGGGAGGGCTTCTTAGAAGCACCCCTGCTTCTTAGAATGGCGGCGGCCTTACATCTATAGATAAGGCCCGCGCCTTCTAAGAAGCATGGGTGTTTCTAAGAAGCCCTCCCCCCTCCCCCCACCCCCCTCTTGGCATCGCTCGGACGTGTGCATGTTTCCTTCGGCGAGGGCCAGCGAGGAGCATCCTTGCTCATTTGGCGAACAAGCCACGCACGACACCGACAAAAAGCACAGGGAATGGACGTCCGAGCGATGCCCCCCCTTGCGCGCGCCGCCGAGGGGGGCAGGCGGGCCTCTCCTGGGCCGCCGAAGGGGCGCCCCCTTCTCCCTCCGCGGGCCCGAGGCGGGCCTCGAAGAGCCGCGAGCCGAGGCCGCCTCCAGGAGGGGCTCTTAGGGCCGCCTCGAGCGCGCCCCGGCGAGGCACGCACGGACCACTCCTCGCAGGTGGCGGAGGAGGGGGAGGAGGAGGGGGAGGAGGAGGAGGAGGAGGAGGAGGAGGAGGAGGAGGAGGAGGAGGAGGGGGAGGAGGAGGTGGAGGGGGAGGAGGAGGAGGAGGAGGAGGAGAAGGAGGAGGAGGAGGAGGAGGAGGAGGAGGAGGAGGAGGAGGAGGAGGACTCCAAGCTCGATCCCCTGGGCCAGCCCCCGCCGCCGGCGACCCAGAATCGGTCGATCTTGAACGATCCATCAAGCAGTGGCGAAGCGTCCTGGCGTGCCTATAGTCCTACCAAGCAGTGTTCTAAGAATCACGAAATGTTCTCAGAACATTTCTGGCGGAGCCTGTCTTGTTTAAACACATCGGGCTTCTGTTCTAAGAACATGGTTTTTGATCTTGGAACATGCTTGGGTTCTGAGAACCTTTCGTGGTAGGACAATAGGACTGCCGGGGCGGTCGGTCCCTGCTCAAGTCCGACGTTTCGGGAACGGCCGATCGTTCCAGTGTGTGGGGAGGGGGGGGGGGGGGGGGCGATCTCCGCGGTGTCGGGAGCCAGCGCCTGGGTCGGGTCGACACAGCGCGAACCCGCGGTGCCGTGCTCGTCGTGGAGGTTGGCGGCTCGAGGATCTAGGGTTAAGTCGGGCGTGTCCCCCTGCAGGGGGATTTTCGACGACAAATCATTAATACTAAAAGAATACCCCCAAATAGTGAAAACATGTTCAAAAAATAGTCCCCAGACTTTTTGTTCGACTATTTTTCGAAGATGTAGGGTTTTTTTATTTTTCGTCGAAAATCCCCCTGCAGGGGGACAGGCCCGACGTAAGTCTAGGCTGTCGAGCGTTCTCGTCAGATCTCGGCGGCCTTCAGCCTCGGGGTGCTCTCCAGCAGCTGCGCCTCTCGCCGAGGGCGTGCCGCGGGCGCCCGCACCGTGCCGAGCCGCCGAAGAGGAGAGAGCCGAGCCACGACCCCCAAAACGGGGGAGGGGGAGATGCCGATACGGTCAACCCGCGCGGTTCAGAGCCCCGAATCATCAGGGGTATCTCGGGTCAGGGCTAATTCGGGTTCGCTTTTCGGGAATCCGAACCCGACTTAGCCCGGACCCGAGTTACCCCGGATAATTCGGGCGTCCAGAGCCCCACATCATCAGGGCTAACTCGGGTCAGGGCTAACTCGGGTTCCTTTTTCGGGAATCCAAACCCGAGTTACCCCGGACCCGAGTTACCCCGGATATCGGGCGCCCAGATGGTAAGGATGAGCGACTTTCCAAGGTTCTCCTGCCCTCCGGTCCACCCTTGGCCCCTTTCGCTGGCCGCGCCCCGCTCGCAACGTGTCGACACGGCCTTCCGAGGCCCGTGCAGCCTTGTCATGCGTCCTTGGTATACGGGTTGACTGTTCCGCTGCTCCGCTGGAGGAGGTCGGCGTCACCCCAATATGCCAGTACTACGTGTGCGTCGCCCCCCCAGGGACGACGCGCGCACCGAGAAATGTTGTAGTGTATGCGTCGTGGCGGGCGCTTTCTGGCCACACCTCTCGGTAAACCATATTATATATATATATATATATATATGCATATATATGTGCATATATATATATATATATATTACAAGATGGGTATATGTTATATGTTCGGGTCGGACACACGCCTCTCAGGAGGAGATATGAAGCGTTCCAAAAAGGGCCTTGCCTTCGTGGATGGAAGGAATTGTCATCTCCTCCGCGGCGGAAGGGCGGCGGAAGCAAGACGAGGCCGCCTCACCCGGCGGAAGCTCGGCGGAGGGCGGCGGAGGTCGGCGGAAGCAAGACGAGGCCGCCTCACCCGGCGGAAGCTCGGCGGAGGGCGGCGGACGCAAACGAGGCACCCCCAAGAGGCGAGGGCGTGTTTTTTGGGGTTTACAGTCAACGCCCGTAGTAAGGACGCGCGCCTTCATCTAGGATGCCCTTGCGTCCTTGCCTCCGTGGCCCGTCCTTTGCCGTTTTCATTGGTCGCCGCCGCCCGAAAAATCCCAATTTCAGCCTCCAAGGGTCTTGTGTCCTTACCACGCGTCCTTAATATACGTTTCGACTGTATTCAGGGCCTCCGAAGTCGCCCCGTGCGGTGCCAGCCTGCCCCCGTGCGTCCCAGGAGACCTCGAGCGGCGCTGGATCCGCGCGCTGGACCCGCGGGGTGCTGGGCGGCTGTCGGGCCGGACGAAAGGGGGGATAATGAAATCTGTTGCATGCTGCTGGTTTCTCGACCAGTGATAGACCCCCTACCCTGACACGTCGATTAAGGAATTGGCCGTTTTCGGTTCGCGAGAGGGCGTCGCGGCCGTCGTTTTTGCGGGTCCAGGTCCGTCGGTTTCGGTCCCAGGCCGTTTTCATTAAGGGGAGCTTTACTAAAAGGAGGTTTGTCCACCGCCGATGGTTTTGGCCTCACCGAGGGGCCCACTCCTCGATGCATGGCCGCCTCCAGCGCCGGGAGGCGCCAGGAGAATCAGCTACGTGAGCTGATTCTCAAACCCCTCACTTTTCAGGAGGGAAATAAACGCACTAACACACACACACACAAATACAATGAATCGTCGATTCCCCCGAAAATGTTGGAATCTATGGGAAGGGGGGGGAGACAAAAACCTAGAACATGTGGGAAAATACTTCTGGGGGATCTGGTTCTTTGTGTCTATTTATTTGTGTGTCCCAGGGCCCTTTCCCTCTGCTATCCCCCCCCCCTCCTCCTCCTGCTCCTCCTCCTCCTCCTCCTGCTCCTCCCTCCTCCTCCTCCTCCTCCTCCTTCTCCTCCTCCTCCTCCTCCTCCTCCTCCTCCTCCTCCTCCCTCCTGCTCCTCCTCCTCCTCCTGCTCTCCTCCTCCTCTCCTCCTCCTCCTCCTCTCCTCCTCCTCCTCCTCCTCCTCATTTTGTGCCTGGCAGATGTCCTGCAAGCGTTTGGGCTCAACGAAGTTGAAGCCGCTGAATTGGGACGGAAGCTGAAGGAGCGTGACCCAGACAACGATCTGGAAGAGGAACTTGGCGGCTAGATACCCAGGGGGGGGCCCTGTCGCTGGCCCCTGGCAGGTCTTCGGCTGTCCTGCCAGGGTGACAAAAAGTTCCCCTCGGATGGGCCCCCCTGGGTTTGCTTTTTGGACCGTCTGACTTTCTCCCCCCCCTTTCCCTCAGTGGCGTGCGATCCTCCTCCTCCTCCTCTCCTCCCTTTCCTCCTCCTCCTCCCCCTCCTCCTCCTCCTCCTCCTCCTCCCCCCTCCCTCCTCCTCCTCCTCCTCCTCCTCCCTCCTCCCTCCTCCCTCCTCTTCGCCCGGCCCGAGGCTGGACGCGCGGGGCGCCGCCGCGGCGATGTTGTCGGGGGGCGCGGAGGGCCTGGCCGCCGCGGCCTTCGGGGCGCGCGCGCTCGTGCCGCCGGCGCGGGGGGCCCTGCAGCGGCTGGCGGCGGCCGCCGAGTCGCTCCCGGAGCCTCGGAGTGCAATCGGCCATGTCTCGGTTGTATACCCCAACTTTAACGTGGGACTTGCATGGGTCATTTGGCGGTGAGAACAGGGGTGATTGAAAGGGTGTTTTGCAGTAGTGCGAAATTTGGCGGCCAGAATTGATTCCCAAACAATGGCGGGGGCGCCATGGCGGGTGAAAAACATACAGGGCAACTGCGGGCTGAATATTACAACGAAAGAACAACTAAAGTCGAGCACATGCGGGTCGGCCATGTCTCGGTATCGTGTCCGATCCCAAGCCCCATCCCCATCCTCAAGCAGTGGCGAAGCGTCCTGGCTTGCCCAGATCCTTACCGAACAGTGTTCCAAGAACCTTCTATGGTTTCCACGAAATGTTCTTAGAACATGCCTGGCGGAGTCTGTCTTGTTTTATCACATCAGGTTTATGTTCTAAGAACATTGATCTTGTTCTTAGAACATTTTTGAGTTCAAAGAACCTTTCGTGGTAGGACTATAGGAATTCCAGGACGGTCGGTCCCTGCTCAACATCCCCTTCGAGGCCCCCACCAAATTACCACCCCCGTTGGAGATATACCCCTCGAAACCCGAAGGGGACGACCTACATCCACATCTAGGGGGGTAAATCGGCCAGTAGGGCCCAGGCCACGCCGCTGGGCATGGGGATCGGATAGACGATACTCAATGTCCCTCTACAGGAGGAACATTCGAGAGGAGCACGAAGATTGTCTGGAGGCGATCTGTCGTGCAGTGGTTGACCATTGTTGGGGATGTTTTGGCGATTGCTTGCTTTCCTTCCAAAGCCCGCCTGTAGGAGGACATGCCCGACCTAAGCTCAGAGGGGGGAACAATTCAGATCGTCGTCGTCGTCGTCGTCGTGGTCGTCGTCATCGTCGTCGTCGTGGTCGTGATCGTGGTCGCAGTGGTCGTGGTTGTCGTCGTGGTCGTGGTCGCCGTCGTCGTCGTCATCGTCGTCGTCGTGGTCGTGGCCATTGTCGCCGCCCCAAGAGGATGCAGAACAAAAAACGTTCTCTCGTGCGCGGGAAACAAAAATCATCGGCGTGTGACTGGGGTCAACGAGGAACCTGGAGATTCCCTGAGCTGACCGACACGGAGGCCAACACAAGCGGGGATCAGCCAGGGCGCGATCTGGCAGGATCCTGCAGAGCCCGGGGTGCACTGACACCGGCTTGCGCGCAGGACCCTGCAGGATCTTACAGGATTTTGCGACTGACCCGGGTTCGCATTGACCCCAGTCGTCAATGGTCGGGAACCACTGACGAGCAAAAACGCAGGAAAGCAAAAATATCATGCTTCGCAATTTTGTTTTTTTGCTGGGCGGATTTTGATTCGCCGCGCGCCCCGCGTCGGGGAAAAGCGCGGTGCCCGCACAATGCGCGGCGACATGCGGGGAGGTTGTGCGATGGCAGGCGTCTGTTAACGCACAGTAGTTGAAAACCGCGATCACCTTAGACGGCCAAAGATGGCCCCGTGGGGCCTCCCAAGACAGTTCCCCATATCGGGGAATCGCAATGTGTTGGCGTCGGCTTGTTGTGTTGTTGGAAACGTGACGAGGTCTTGAGTCGCGTTGCTATTTTTCTGTGTTCTTGGTGTGCCCAGCGTGCTGTGTGTTCTATGTGTACCCGCCGTGTTTGGTGTGATTGTGATGACTGGTGTGCCGCGTTTTTTCGTTCACCGCCGCCCCAAGAAGGTCGATCATAACATTTGCCGGCCACTATCGCCATCCATCAGTTTGTTCGCCGTCATCCTCGTAATCCGTCGCAAGATGGGGGCAGTGAAAAGGAACGGCGCGGGGAGAGCAAAAATTGAGGGGTAAATTTGGATTCCCCGGAGGGAGAGCAAATCTCCTCCCAGGCCGTCCTCGAAACCGTCCGCGCGCACCGTCGGGAAAAACCGCCTCCATCTCACCCCAAAAAATTTGCTCTCCATCTTTTCGTGCATGCAGGAGGGCCCGGCGCTGCAGACATCCTCTATTTTTTTTTGCTCTCCCAGATTTGCTCTCCGCCTCTTTTTTTTTGCTCTCCAGATTTGCTCTCCCAATTCGCCTCCTCGCGAGGGCCTTTCGCTCGCCTCCGTTTGGGAAGGGGTCGTAGGGATTCTCCATTGGATGGGACAGGGGCCACGAAAAGGGTAACGGAGGGAGGATGGGGTGAGGGGGGAGGAGGGAGAAGGGAGGAGGGGGTGAGGGAGGCCGGGAAGGGGAGGGGCAGGGGAGGGAGGAGGGGGAGGCGCAGGAGCAGGAACACGAGAGGGAGGAGCATGAACAAAAGGACGGAGGAACATTAGGGGGAGGAGCAGGAGGCGGAGGGGGAGGAGCAGGAGCAGGGGGGAGGAGGAGACGATCAGGAAGAGGAGGGGGAGGGGGGAAGATGGGGAGGGAAAATGGGGAATTGTGAGGAAGAGCAGGGGCAGGTGAGGAACATGCGTTTTGCTGCGTTCCTGTTGTTGCTTCTGCTGTTCCCTCTCGTCCTTACTGATTCTCTCCATTTTCGTCCTCGTATTTGCTTTCGTGCGAATCCTGAGAGATCATCGTTTTTCGGCTACTCAACCAATCGGCGTCAGACGTCGTGGTATGGCTCTGTATAAGGACTCGTTCTCTCCCAGAAAATGAATTAAAATTACAAGATTTTCTTAATAGATTTGCTTAATGGGGTCCGCGTCAGTGCTTGGCCACCAGAGACAGTCGGTGCGTCCCCGAAGATCCCGATCGTCGTCGTCGTCGTCACCAGAGGATCCAGGACGAAAAGCTCCCCCCGGAGGAGCAGTCGGGACCGCCTTTTGGGGCCACGCGCTGGGAAAGAAACACGTCGGCGTGTGCCTGGGCGTCATCTTGGGACATCCCCTGAGATCTTGGCGCTTGAAGTTTTGTTGCATCCAGTGCTTTCGCCCTATTTCGGACCCCAGGGCCCTCAGGTATATATCGATCTGGCTCGAAGAATGACCAGAAAGATGGGGTCTGGGGCCCCGGTCGTGACTGTTCACGACGTTGCATTTTCCCGCGACGTCGGATCTCAGACGAGACATGAACCCGATACGGTGGGTTTACGTCGGCTCGATGGGCGGCGACCCCGCCGCCAGCGTTCAGCGTCGAACGCCTGACGGCCGATTGTTCAGGGTGGAACGACCTCCGCGGTGTCAGAGCCAACCCCCAAAGTCGTCGGCACGACGCGAACCCGCGGCGCTGCTGCTCGTCGTGGAGGTTGGAGGCTCGAGGATCTAGGGTTAAGTCGGGCGTGTCCCCCTACAGGGGGATTTTCGACGAAAAAAAGATACTAAAAACAATACTCCCAAATGGTGAACAAATATTCAAAAAATAGTCCCCAGACTTTTTGTTAGAGCTTTTTTCAATATGTTTGTTTTTTTTTATTTTTTGCTGATATGGATGGATGGCATGTTCTTAAGCCCCAAGTGGCTACAGTACTTCAACTCACAATCGCGTGCATGTTGCATGGATGTCCGCACGCCTCCTCAGCGCGGCACCCTCGAGGGTGCAAGCTGGCCTTAGCAACTTGCACTCGTCCGTAGCTCGAACTCGTGGCTCCAGCGCGTCATCGGGTGATCAGTCCGATCGACGCTGAAGCGAAAAGTGTGCTCTGGATACGCTCCGCCAGAGCACATTAAAACCAAACGCGTTGTACCGGTCTTTGCCTCTGTTGCTGCCTGCAGCTGTCACTAAAGCGGGCTGTGGCCTACAGCCTCGCGCCAGCTACCTTCGTCGCCTGCGGGACCCTCTCAACCCCACGACACTTCTGGCAGGGGTACGAACCGAGGCTGAGAACGATGCCTCGCATACGTGCAAGGGCCCTGACTGCCCTTGTCCTCGCAGCGCTTGGGTGCTGGCTCCACCTGCACGCCTGTGTCTCGAAGGCATACGGTCACCTCACGGCGCTCCTCACGGCGCTCCTTCAGCACGTGCCTCTCGATGAGCACGCCCGTCACAATCCCAATGAGGGTCAGGATGACCATCATGAACGCGGTGAACTGCATGCCACCGCCCTGTGACTCGCTCCCGCCTGCCGAGCAGGTGGGCTCCACGACCGTCCCGTCGGCGGTCTGCGCCGCTGCGAACAGCAGCAGCGTCGCCAACACCTGGCTGGCCTCGTCCGTCCCGAAGCCAGCGATCTTCCTGCTCACGATCCCGAGGTTCCTCATGCAGGTCTGCAGCGCCTCCTGCTCCAGCGGCTTCGTGCCTGCATCACTCGGGTTCTTCTTGCCGTCCACTCTCTCAACCTCGAACTGCTTCTCCCTCAGCGCCTGCTGGTGCCAAAGGTACCTGGTCTGTAGATGCCGTACACGCCCGCAGCCCACTCTGTGGATCATCCCACGGGCCGCGTCTGAGTCCGTGCGAATGATCAGCCTCACGTCTGCTGGAACACCAGCTCCAAGCTCAGCGATCTCGAGCATCACCTGCTTGACCGTGATGCCGCGCGCTGCCGCTGAGCCGATGGCGTAGAACTCCGACTCTGCGCTGCTGAGTGCAACAGCGCCCTGCGTGATGCTCCAGCTCTCGATGAGATGACCAGCGCCAGGATCTCCGACCTGGATGGTCCCCGCCGACGTGCTCTTGCATGTCTGTACGTCGCCGCTCCAGTCGCCGTCGGAGTAGACCACCACATCCGTCCACTTCTCCTGGTAGAGGAACTCGATCCCGACGTCATGCGTCCCCGCGAGGTAGCGTGCCAACCTCCTGAGTCGCATCATGCTCAGGCGCGTCGGATGTGCCATATCCGACGCCAGCTGCTTGGTGGCGAACTGGATGTCGAAGCGGTCTGGGCCGATGTACATGCAGATGCCCGTGCCCCTGCAGTAGATCGCCTTCTCGGCCCGCTTCAGCTCCTCCAGAGCATCCCTCGCGTTCTTGCCAGTCGCTCGGCTGACAGGCGTCGGGGAAGGCTTCACGTTCTTCAGGTCCAGCAACGTGCTCAGGTTCTCGAAGTGCTTCGGGTCAGGCAGCAGCATGAACCCCTTCGCGCTCCAAAGTAGAAGCCGTCGTAGAACCAGGCCTTGCTCTTCAGCGGCTGGACCAACTCTCGGGAGGATCTTGGCCTTGAAGCTGCCCGTGATCATTGCGTCCACCTTGTCCAGCTCGTGCGGCTCGCCCTCGGTGTAGAAGTCATCCCCGTGGAAGCCTGACAGGCAGTCCCACTCGCTGTGGTACGCCAAGCAGGGGGCCGTCGACAAGATGTTCCAGCCATGCTCTCGGTACGTGTCACGCACCAGCTGCTGGAAGTCAGCGCTCGACTCACGCATCCCGTACAGCGCCTTACTCACCAGCCAGAGCCAGTCGGGGCAGTTCAGCTCCTTCGGAGGCTCGGCCCACACGGGCTCCTTCAGCTCAGCGTGGAAGAAGGCCACCGAGATGTCGTGGGCTGCGAGCTGCCTCGAGCTGCCTCTCGACGCCAACCTCGAGATCACCAGCTTCAGCGCCCATGTCGGTGGTGTCCCCGCGTAGTGCTCTGGTGCAAAGACGCCTCCTGCGAAGTCGCGCGCGACGATCCGCGATCGCACACAGTCTGGACCCTTCCTGGTGTGGAAGAGCTTGGTGGAGATCACCCTCTCACCAGCTGGCTTCTCGCTGCGCTTCTTCCAGACCATCACCTCGAACTCGTCCATCTCGTCGAGCTCGCGCTTCACGCCCTGCAGCACCAGCTCCTTCGGCAGCACCTCGCCCGTGAACTGGTCGTGGAAGCTCCCCGCGAACAGCTCCCCGTCGAAGGTTGGAGGTGGGACCTCCTCCTCGCAGAGGGCTCCTAGAGTCATGGGTTCACTGACTGGGTCGGTGTCCATGGGCGCAGTGGGGACCACCTCGATCACTGGCCTCTTTCTTGCTGGTTCGGCTGCTTCGGCATCTCTCTCTCTCTTCGGTGCTGCAGCTGCTGGCAGTTGTAGTCCTGGAGGTGGACTTATCTCCTGCTGCGGTGCTGGAGCTGCCTGTTGTGGTACTGGCCTCGCAGCCTCGGCGCCTGCGGCACCCACAGCTGGCTGCAGCTGGATCGCCTGCTCAGCCTGCGCCTTGAAGATCTCCTCGAACCGAGCCCTGCACGCCACCGTGTGCACGCTGGACAGCCCCAGGCAAGCTGGGCAATCTGGGCTCTCGCCGTGCTCCTGGATCAGGGCACGCGTGATGTATCTCCTCCTCGTACTCACCACCGGTGTCTCCGTCGTAGGCGCTCTCGGGTTCCAGGGCACACCGATGAACGTCCTGAACTCCTCCTGGACCCACCGCTCGCTGTCGTCACGCCTCTTGAACGTCCTGCTGAACTCGATCCCTCGCGCCGTGCCCACGATGACCTCATCACTCTCGTCCCTCCGCCCGAGGAACACTCCTGTGGCCCAGCGAGGGTCGAGCTTCGACTGGTCCTTGCGGATCAGCTTGAAGTCCACAGTCTCGCCCACACACGCCAGGGGCGACGCGAACTCCTTGCCCTTGATCGTCGCCCAAGCGCTCCTGCCATCGCTCTTCGTGGCGAACCTCGTGAGGACGTAGGCCGCATGCCTGACCAGCCACGGCAGGATCACCGACTGACTCGTCACCTTGGTCTTGAACTTCTCCTCGATGACGGCCACGTACGTGCGGGTGAGTGACTCCACTCTGCGCACCACAGCCTCGATCATGCCGTTCGCCTTGCTGTCGTGCTTCGTGGACTTCTCGACTGTCGTGCGGTGATGCTCCACCCGACGTCGGCGTAGCTCGCCTAGAAGTGCTTGGATGGCGGGCTCCTGGTCCGCCCGCAGGACGACTTCTCCAACACCCCATGCCTCGAGGTGGAAGAGTACGAACTCCACTGCAACGTCGTCAACTCCCTTCTTCGGCACCTGCGTGGCTCCAACAGCACCTGGATGCCTCAGCACGATGACCAGTATCGTCGCCTTCTGCAGCTCGCCCTCCCGCGCTAGGAAGCAGTAGTCCAGCGCGAGCTTCGCGACGGTCGAGGCGGACTCCTGGGTCCTGTGCTGATCCTCGGTCGCCTGGCCCGTCAAGCAGTACCTGCACCAGGCACGGAATGGACAGTGAGTGACCTCGTGCTTCGCCCTCTCGTCTGCGCTCGGCCAGACCGCTACCTTCTTGGTGGTCGCGTTCCTGGCCTCCTCGCTGTCCTCGAGGTCCACCTTGGGCCGTCCGCCAACATCCTTCGGCTCGTCGCTCTTCTCCGTCGTCGGGCACAGCTCGCCAGTCGAGCACCGACGAGCTCGGATGACGAAGATGCCGTTCTTCCGCTTCAGCTCGATGGACTTGCCTTTGCCGATGTTGTCCTTCACGTGGCTCGCCAAGTCCTTCGCCTGCTCGGGCTTCACGATGTAGCTGCCTCCGTCGTACAGCCACACACCGTAGCCCGCGTCAACTGCAGAACTCGCCGCCATGATCGGCTTGCGCACCCCTTTGGCCTCGAACTTCACCGTCAATGGCTCGCCAGAGCTCTGGTCCGTCATGCTCACCTCCTTCTTCCCGTAGTGCTTGAGCTCGTTGCCGTCGGCCTGGTAGAGTACCGTCCCACGGCACTCCTTGATGGCCACCTCAGGCGCCCACGAAGGTGGGCAGACGCTCCTTGCAGCACACGTGTCAAAGAGCAGGTCGAAGTCGGCGCCCTCGAGGGCGCAGCAGTAACCCGTCTCGATCTCGTTGGAGTTCTCGCCCTCCATCAGCGCGAACACGAAGCCATCCTGCTCGTCGTAGTAGTAGTCATCGTCGGACAGGGCCGTCACCGCCGCTGTGTCGCCATTCTCGCTCTCGAGGCGCTTGCCTGTGATCTTGTCGACTGGCTTGCCTGCGTAGCGTCCCGACTTGTCTGGCTTGATGTCCTTGCTCGCTCGGTCCTTCGCTAAGATCCTGCACTCCTGCTTCGTGTGGTTCGGCTTGGCGCAGTAGAAACAGACCTTCTTGCTCTTACCCTTTCCGTCGTGGTTCTTTCCCTTGCCGCTCTTGTCCTTGCCTTTGCCCTTGCCGGCCTTGCCCCGTGTCATAGGGCACAGCTCTCCAGTCACAGGGTTCAGCTCCATGGGTACTGGCTCCTCCTCCTGGCTGGCCGTCGCGCGAAGGTATGAGATCACCTCGGCCTTCGCGGCTTCGTACGTCTGCAAGCGGCCTACCTGGAGGTTGACGTGGGTCTTCAGGGGCCCATCCAAGAGCTTGTTGGTCAAAGTCGCCAGCTTGATTGAGTCAGCCATCTGGTCACCAGACTGCTCCTCATAGGCCTTCAGCTGGCGCTCCCAGGTGTAGATACTCTCCAACATGTCGGGGCCTCGCACGGGGTCGAGCAGCCTCTGTAGCATGCCCTGGAAGCGGCTCGGCAGCCTGGGCTCGAACTCGCGGCACAGCTGCCTCCAAGCCTCGACCCCCCAGCCCTCTGGGACTCGTTGCACCACAGATAGTGCTCGCCCACGACACGTGAGTGCCAGCACGTAGTAGATCTGCGACGAGAGCTTCTTGTCGTTCACATCCATCATCACGTTGCTGATCTGCTGCTCGTCGTCGACCTTGTTGGCTGCATACTCCAGCGCGTCCCTGCACGTCGGGTCGAACGCGCCAGCGTATGCCCTGAATGTGAATGACCACTGCGGCCACGCTAGACCTCCTTCTGGCTTGCCGTCCGCCGTCAGGTCACCCGAGAACAGCGGCGGTTTGCCCAGCGCCCTCGTGTCCACGAGGGAGCTCTCGCCGCGGCTGGGCTGCTGAGGAGCGGCTGCGGCTCCTGCTGCAGCGGGGCCCGCGGTGCTCATCTGGTCGATGACCCTCCTGGCCTCAGTGAGCTCGGCCGTCCTGTCTGCAATCTGCTGCTCCGCCGCCGTCAGCCTGGCCTCCATCGCCCTGAGAGCCTCCTCCATGGCCGATGCGGGCAGACTCTGCGGTCAGGGAACCACGCTCCGCGCTACCATGCTGATATGGATGGATGGCATGTTCTTAAGCCCCAAGTGGCTACAGTACTTCAACTCACAATCGCGTGCATGTTGCATGGATGTCCGCATTTTTCGTCGAAAATCCCTCTGTGGGGGACAGGCCCGACTTAAATCTAGAGTGTCGAGCGTCTTCGTCAGATCTCCGGCGGCCTTCCAGCCTCGGCGTGCGCCCGCATCGCGTGCCGAGCCGCCGAGAGGGGGAGCCGAGCCACGACCCGAGCACAAGGGAGCAACGCGTCACTCTGGCTTGGCATCGCTCGGACGTGTGCAGTTTTCCTTCGGCGAGGACCCTCGAAGAGCATCCTCGATCATTTGGCGAAAAAGCCACGCACGACACCAGAAAAAACACAGGGAATGGACGTCCGAGCGATGGCGAGCTGGGGAGGAAGAGGTGCCCATCGGTCGTTGGAAGTAGGTGTTCTGGGAGTCCCAGATTCCAGCCTACTTTAGACGCCTTCCTGCTTCAATGATCGAGCGGCTTCACCTGTTCCGTCCTCCTGAGTGGGCGGGCGGAGCCCAGTCTGCCTTCAACGCCTTCCTACTTCATGTTTCTACCTA